CCTTCATAGAGAATTAAACTCACCAAGCACACTCCTTGTTTAGGGGACAGAATTTAATGTGTCTTATCTTCTGGCTGGCGTCCTCTGAGATGGCAAACAGGCTTCCAGATGTTTTTGAAAGCCTTGAATGAGCCTAGAAGGCACTTTAGCATCTTCATCCCTAATTATCTGCCTCAGCCTCTGAGATTGTCTGGGTTTTTGTGAGAGACCAGAGCCTAGAAGTCTTCATGTATCTGGGACCAGTGGCACCCTATGTGGTATGAGGAGGTCTCTCACCGGCCCATGCCATGTTCATGTCCATTTCCATGCCATTAGTATCTGTTCCCTCCCATGCCATTTCACCTGGTGGGTTCTTCATGAAGCACCTGCCATGATTTTGGCTGGCCCTAAGCTAAGTAGGGTGAGAGAGCCAAGATCCGTTAGAGTTCCTGTCCTAATAATAATAATATTCAGTAATTATTATTATAGCTAAAATTTGTTGCATTCTAACTGGGTACCAGTGCTAAAGTCTTGCACACATTACTCATTTAATCCTCACAACCCCCACCTCCCTATGAAGTAGCTATTATTCCCATTTCACAGGTGGGAAGACCAAGGCACAGAGAGATAGTTCAAGGTCAACGGCTAGGAAGGAGTAGAATGGAGATTCAGGGCCAGAAATTATGGGATTTCAGGGCCTCTTTCAACCACTTTCAACCACTGCACAGCACTGAATGCCAGGTTGCAGGGAAAATATACAGTTATGAAGGAATCGGTTGGGATCTTCCCCAACTAGCTCTGCAAACACATCGAAAAGGAGCTAGCTCTCTCCTCCTCACTGGCACCTTTGGGCCAAGACTGGGGGACTCTCACAAGACTGGGGGGACACTTTCTGGTGCTCAGAATGGAACACAGCATTTAGTTTTTGACAAAAGTGCTGACTTTACCCAACCTAAAACTTCCCAGGGAGAGCAACCCCTACCAGTCAAGGTCAGTTGTCAGCCGGAACCCTATGGGACTCAGAACACAGTGGACTCACAAAAATATATGGGGCCAGGAAAGTCCACATTCAGACCCAAAGTGACCCTCCTGTTCTTTTTGTAGATGGTAAGGAACTTTGCAATGTGGCTTCTTTTTGATTCTGTCCTGAAATTCACAATAGAAGAAGCATGGAAATTCCACAACCCACATGGCACATGTTCCGTTTGCCTAACATTCCTGCCGCTTCCCTGAAGGTGATCTACAACCGTATTGTCAATGAATTCTTGGCAGTTTGCTGAATTTAGAAGAGGTTATTTTTCCTCATTATATTGTCTTGGCACTTTTGTCAAAAATCAATTGACCATAAATGTATGAATTTTTGGACTCCCAATTCTATTCTACTGACCTGTATATCTATCCTTATGCTAATACCACACTGGCTTGATTACTGTAGCTTTGTAATAAGTTTAAAATCAGGAAGTGTAAGTCCTCCAACTTTCTTCTTCTTTTTCAAGATTTCTTTTTTTTGGCTATTCTGGGTCCTTTGCATTCCCCTACGAATTTTACAATCAGCTTGCCAATTTCTGCACAAAAAGCCAGCTGGGACATTGAGAGGGATTGTGTTGAATTTATAGATCAACTTAGGGAATATTGATTGACACCTTTACAATAGTAAGTCTTCTGATCCATGCTCAGGAAAGGTTTCTCCATTTATTTAGATCTTCAATTTCTTTAAGCAATGTTTTGTAGTTTGTAAACGTCTTGCACTCCCTTTGTTAAATTTATTCCTAAGTGTTTTATTCTTTTTGATGCTATTGTGAGTGGGATTGTTTTCTTGTTGATGAATTTAGAAAGCGCTGTATTCTCTTGCATGGTGGGGGTAGGGGTATTGAAGTGGCTCATCATCAAATACTCGTGATTAATCGAGAATGATTCTAGGTGATGTATCTGGATAGTCAAATGTCAAAGAATCAGAATACAGTAAGGTACCACCAGTGACTAAAGTCTGACTGAAACCGCTGAATCTTTGAGGAGCCAAAAGGGGCTTCAGGATGTCCTAGAGCTTCAGGACTGGCGTTCCCTGTGCCTCCCGCAAGACTCTGCATCCGCCATTATCTGCACTGCATGGCAATGATCTGTTTATGACTGTCCCCCTGACCACACTGTGGGTATATGAACATAAGGACCCTGTCTTATTCTTTTTTGCATCCTCAGTGTTGAATATCCTGCCTGATACATGGTGGATACTCCATGCATTCTGACCACATGTCATGACATGATCCACGATAGAGAGTTATGATGAATAGGTTTGAGGGTTTACATATGTGTGGCTGTGGGCTGCAGACAAGCCAGTAATCGTCTGTGCCACCCTGCTGAAAGGGGCAGGCCAAAGCTGCCATGTCTGTACCTCTTGATCCCACCCCTCCATGACCCAACTTAATTGGACCAGGAACGGAACCAACTGGACCAATCAGCTTCTCCTCTTGAGAATTTGGAAGCGGGACACCAAATACTGGAGTCAGATATGTTTGCAGAGCTGAGTTATAAGGCCAGGGAGCCAGGGTGAGCGGAAGCCATATGCACGGTCAGGGATATGCAGCAGCCACGAGGAGGCAGAAGGAATCCAGTCTGCAGAGAGGGGCTGAACAAGAGAGCCACAGATCCAGAGAGGGGCTGCCTCTGGCCCTGGTGGCTCTCCATTTCCCCATCCCGAAGTGTGAGGCCGGGCTGGACTTGACTTCTTTGAGATCTTTCTCACCTATCAGATGCTGCAAACTGGCAGCCCATCAACCAAACCTGGCCTGCAGATGAATTTTATTTGGCTCACACATCATTTAAATATTTTTGATCCAACATACCAAAATTTGGAGATTTCATATAAAAATCCAGCTTCCTGTCTTGAAAATCAGGAGATCCCATGGTGCAACAAAATCAGCTCGAGCTGAGTACTAGCCTGCCCCGCTCTGGACAGGCCCTGTGCTTCTTACTCTACCACAGTCCTCCTCTCTTCCTGCTGTTCCTTACACCTCTGTTTCACTCACTTGTGTTCCCTGGCTGCCCCCGTATGAAATAACTACCTACCCCAGTCTTATAATAAAGCAGTACTTCTTCATTTGAATTAGTCCGAGTACAATTTCCCCCATCCAACAACCATCACTTTCCTTCTTCATGCTAACAGAATCCCAATTTCGTGTTCAAGAGGCTGTGGGTATCCCTTGATCTTGTGGGATGTAGGCCTTTCTTTCCCCAGCCCTAGGGAGGACTCTGCTGGGATGGGCATTTGACCCAGGTCTGACCAATGTGAAGCAATGGTAAATCTGCTGGGAGACTTCTCTTCCCAACCAAAACCAGCAGACCCTTTAGAAAGAAAACCTTTTGTGACTGCTCCTTCCCCATTCTATCTCCTTTGAAAATAATATGATGCTCGGCACTTCAGCAGCCATTTTGCAACCATGAGGTTTCACGCATAGGGTCAAATGGCTAACATACAGAGGATGGCAGAGAGGAAAGGCAAAAAGGAGCTGCGTTCTTGATGACATCGTTGAGCTGCTGAACCTTCCCTGGAACTGCCTGACTCTGGACTTGTTGTTAAATGAAAAATTAATATTCTAAAGGTTTAAGCTACTATTGACTGGTTTTGCTGCCGCTTGCAAATCCAGGATTAATCCCAGGATTAATACTGGCATTATTAATCCTCCAGGTAGCCTCCAGGTATCCCAGTCCTTTGATGTTTATTAGTAGTAACCAAAGGAGACTCTTGAGCTCATCCTCCAAGGCTCTCTGTTGCTTAACATTATTTAAAAATAATGAATATCCATTTTCATTTCAAAGTCCATCCCTAAGGTACTCTTTCGTCTCATTGCCAACACATCCCATTTATGTCTTCCTGAGAATATGTGAAGTAAGGGAAAGAAAGAACCCCGAGAACCCTGGCTACATTGAACATCTTTTGCCATTCTCTGAAATCTTTCCTGACACTGGGAGAAACATGACATTTCCATTAATAGAAACAGGAACTTTTGGATAGTTCAAAATTAGACACGAACGTCCTCGGCTAAAGGCCCTGTGTATTTCAGAGGCTTCGGCAACTTTCGTGGCAGCTCTCATATCATTCAATAATATTGATTTTTTGTGTGTGTGAGGAAGATCAGCCCTGAGCTAACATCTGCCAATCCTCCTCTTTTTTTCTGAGGAAGACTGGCCCTGAGCTAACATCCGTGCCCATCTTCCTCTACTTTATATGGGACGCTGCCACAGCATGGCGTGACAAGCAGTGCGTGGGTGCGCGACCGGGATCCGAACCGGCGAACCCTGGGCCGCTGCAGCGGAGCACGCACACTTAACCACTTGTGCCACCGGGCCGGCCCCAATAATATTGACTTTTTCAAAAGGGCAGGCAATTTACAAGGCAAAGAGTTTATAACTTCCATTATCTCAAGAAGAGAAAGCCCTCAACAGTGAGCCCCTTTACCCCAGCCCCTGGAAAACATTTCTGCCCACCGAGCACTCCTTCCCCACCGCAGCCCCCAGCTCCCCCAGGTTATTTGAGGGTAAAGGGAGTGGATGTGCTCATCCAGCAGTGTCTGGCCAGCTGGAAGGCAAAAAAGACAGCAAAGATTCTGTGTTACCCAGGAGAGCTCAGCAGACCAGAAATAATTAGACCCACAGCCACTCAGGCTTCAAGGAAGTGTGGGTGTCAGGGAGAGGCAGATCTGCCAAGCTGCCTTCCCTTGGACTGCCCGGGCCGAGGGGGCTGCAGACCTTATTTCAGGGACATGGGACTGTTTGCAGTCAATCTAGGACCTGAGCCTGAAGTCACCCATTGTGACCTCCACACCATGAGAAGAAAGTGTTGTCTCCAACAGACTCAAAGGCATGATGTTGGCAGCCAACTGTGCAACTTTTCCCCCTCATTGGAAAGATGATCATGTTAAAGCACATTAAAGCATTGAGATCACCCTGGCTGGACAAAGTTGGCAAGACCATTACACTGAACTGTCACTAGGACTTTGCAACCAATGAACAAACTTGGACCCTTGCAATGTCCATCACCAATATGTTTTAATAAGAGATGAACGTAGACATTTGGCTTCCTCGCCATGTTTACTTCAAGCAGAGGGTCAGTCTTCTCTGGCCTTCTCTGGGCTCCGGCAGCTTCCTCCCTGCTTCCCTGGGTTCCCTGCCTTCGTGATGGGGAAAAGGATCATGTGAACCAAATCCTGGAGGTGGATGCTGTCTGCTGAGACACGGCGCCAGCCCTTCCTCCTGAGGCCAGCCCCAAACCCAACTGACCTGCCTGCTCTTCCTTTGAAAATGTACACATTTCACGCCTCTGGGCCCTCCTGTTCCTCCCCACCCCACAGCATCCCTGTGGTGGGTTCCATCACTGGAACCCCAGGAGATGCCTCTGTGTGAAGACCAAGCCCTTGACAGCATGGGCGGCCGAGAAACCAGGGAGAAAGGATTCCTGGTCCCCTGACCCTGATGGGAACAGGTGGTTGGTGTAGCATCCTTTCAGTTTCTCTGCCCATTTAGCCATCCACCCACGCTCAAAATCCAAAGCACTGAAACCTGAGTTAACTGTTTTCTTCCCCAAGAGTCACCAGTCAGCCAGACCTAGGAGGGGGCCAGAAAAGAAGCCCCGAGGTGGTCTTTGCTGCCTCTGAAGGGGAGGCCCCTGCTTTAGCGTTGGGCTTGATTCTGACCTCCCTTGGGCCTCAGTCCCTGATGCCCGGGGGTTAGCATTTTCTGAGGTCGTCTGGTGCCAGCCCAGCTGTGCCCATGGACACATTTGGATGCCCTGGAGTCAGGGACAGTAACTCCAGAGGGGGCCAGATGGGGGCCTGTGGCTTCAGTTCAAATGCATGTTCATCTGCCAGAGTCTCCACCAGTCAGGCCCTGGGGGGGCATTCCGAGGGGGCGTTTCTCGGACCCAAGAAAAATCTGCTCAGGCCACACCTGGGTTGCCTGCGATTTCAAAGAAGAAAGCCTGGGCCGGGGGTGTAGGAGGAACCTGCTGAACAGGTCCAGTTGGTGGGCGGCAGGTGTGGGCTCCCTGGGCGACAGGTCTCTCAGGGGTCTGGGCCTGGACCGTATCTACAGAGATCTGTGGGCTGTTGTTCACCGAGGCTGTGACCGGCTGACTGTGGTAGCCAAGCGGTGCCCCTGGCACCCCTAATGTGGCAGTTTTCCCATGCAGATCCCCAGGTTATTAACAAACCTCCCCCCACACATACAGAGAACCCCCGGAGCAAACATCTCCCCATCCCTGCGTGGATCTCGATGAATATGAGCAAACGGAGTCCAGACACAAAGCCCTGTTGGTCCAGGTTGTCCTCCTGGGTGAGTTCTTGATGTCGGCAGTGATGGTCGGTGCCCCGGCTGGGCTCCAGCAGCTCCCCGCGCTCTACAGCCTCAAAGACCAGCTCAGCCCCCCATCGGGCGCTACTCCTGAGAGCCAGAGTTCGACCTGGTGACGCCTGCGCCGTGCGTCCCTCGGCCGACCATCTCCTGGCCCCACTCCCGGTGGCTGGACTCCTGCAGTCCACGGCCTTTGGTCTCGATGGGCAAAAAGCAGGAGGCCAGAGCAGCCAGGAGGCAGCAGCCGCTGTAAACAGCCAGTGTCAGGTACACAGAAGATTCCAGCATCACCTGCAGGAGGGAGACGCCTGCTGGTGAGAGCATCCTTTCTGAAGCATAGGCTCCACAGACCATCAAGATGATATTGACAACGCCAGGCCCTCCTGTGAGCATTCTGTGTGACTGAACCGTCTAGTCCTCCCGACAGCAACATGAGGTAGTACTTCATCCCCACTTTACAGAGGGAAAAACTGAGGCTCAAAGAGGGTCAAGTCGCATCCCCAAGTTCATATGGATACTAAGGATGGGGCTGGGATTTGAACCCATTGAACTTGTGCTCAAAGACCAGCTCAGTCCCCCATTGGTCGCTACTCCTGAGAGCCAGAGTTGGACCTAGTGATGCCTGTGCTATGTGACCCTCGGCCGACCATCTCCTGGCCCCACTCTCGGTGGCTTACTCCTGCAGTCCGCGGCCTTTGGTCTTTATGGGCAAATCCACTGGGCTCAAGAGTCTATATTCTTTATAACTACACTCTCCTCTGGAGAGTCCCTCTGCCGACTTGCTAGCTTTATGGCACGGGGCAAATCACACAGCAGAGCTAAACCTCATTTCCTCATCTGCCGAATGGGCATAACGGCAGTATCCACCTCGTAATGAGAGCATCACTCGGGAGCACTTTGGCACCATGTGGGCACACGGCGAGCTCTCAACCAATATTAGTTAGTAGTGACATACAATGGCCAAACCCTACAGCACAGGACAGAAATACTCGGCTAAAACCCATGCTGGAATTCTACTTATACGAAATATCCAGAATAGGTACATTTATACAGACAGAAGGCAGATTGGTGGTTAATGCTTATGGAGTTTTATTTGGGGTGATGAAAATGTTTTGGAACTGGATAGAGGTGGGGGGTGCACAACATTGTGAATGTGCTAAATGCCACTCAGTCGTTCACCTTAAAATGGTTAATTTTATGTTACATGACTTTTACCTCAATAAAAAAAAAAGTGAGGGGCTGGCCCAGTGGCGTAGCAGTCAAGTTCGCAAGCTCCGCTTCGGTGGCCCAGGGTTCGCAGGTTCAGATCCCGGGCGTGGACCTACGCACCACTCATCAAGCTATGCAGTGGCGGCGTCCCATATAAAGTAGAGGAAGATGGGCATCAATGTTAGCCCAGGGCCAGTCTTCCTCAGCAAAAAGAGGAGGATTGGCAACGGATGTTAGCTCAGGGCTAATCTTCCTCACCAAAAAAAAAAAAAAGTGATAAAAACAGAAAAAAATGAATTGGATATTAAAAAAAGACTGCAAAATAAGATTCTCTCATAATGGACAGAAATGCTTCAAGACACACAAAGAGCTGGCAATTCTGAAACTACATCTAATTATCAGAAATGGAGACTGGACCTTTGTTTCCCACTAAATCATGATGGCCTACTTGTTTTCATCCACGCTGTTTTGGGCCAAATCATATGACACTCCCCAGGATCTTCTGCACAGGCAAGACCTGGGTTTTTGTTTTGTTTTGTTTTGTTTTTGTGAGAAAGACCAGCCCTGAGCTAACATCCATGCCAATCCTCCTCTTTTTTTTGCTGAAGAAGACTGGCCCTGGGCTAACATCTGTGCCCATCTTCCTCTACTTTATATGGGATACCACCACAGCATGGCCTGACAAGCGATTCGTTGGTGTGCGCCCGGGATCCGAACCTGCAAACCCCGGGCCGCTGAAGCGGAGCGCGTGCACTTAACTGCTGTGCAACCAGGCCGGCCTCCAAGACCTGGGTTTGAGCCCAGCTCCTTGCCTTCCCAGCTGTGTGACCTTGGGCAAGTCCCTTTACCCTTCTGAGCCTGTTCTCTCATTAGCGAGCATTATGACTTCTTTCATAGGATGGAATGTTAGGAGAAAATGAGATAATGCACACAGAGGGCTCTGCAGAGGCTCAGCATACAGTAACTGCTCACCATGAGTTGGTTTTTGTCATGCCCCCCCTCTGGATTTGGGGGCGACCCCTACCTGAGCGATGAACGGAGTGATGAGAGCCCCCACTCTCGCCATGCCACTGCAGGTTCCTAGGCCCAGTGCGCGCGTCGCCGTGGGGTAGACCTGAAACACAGCCACCAACGTGGGCTTGAGAAAACGCAGGTGTCTGCCTCTCCTCCAGCTCAGGAATCATGGGACCAATCCCCAAGGGCGGGCTTGAAGTTAGGGTGAATCCTGTGGGTGTTAGTGATCCCATTAAGAGGTGGGAGACCAGGGTGGGGATTCCCACCCCAAACGGGATAGGAAGTTCAACTGAGAAAGAGGGCAAGAGGCCAAGCTGTGGGTGGGAACCCAGTAAGGGGTTCCTCCCTGCCCTGGGTGGTCCCCAAAGACTCCACCAGGAGCTACTGCACTTTCGGATCCGGACACCATTCTCCCCGACACTTTTCATTAGCTCCCCTTGGAGCACTGGTCATGGACTTTCCAGGCGTTTCACAAAGAGAGAGACTGAAATGTTTACACAGCTTCTCAGTTCATACCCAGGAGTGGCCCCATGCCTAGCTCTCCCTTAGGCAAAGTGAGAAGGGACTGTGCATCTTCCAGGCCAGGGTAATCAAGAAGTGGTCATGTCTTCTCCACCCTCTTCCCCAGTCTGTGGGCTGGAAGGAGGACTTCGAGGCCCAGGGGCAGGGTTTCTCAACCTGGGGACTATGGATGGTTTGGAATGGGTCATTCTTTGTAGTGCGGGGCTGTCCTGTGCATTGTAGGATGCTTAGCAGCATCCCTGGCCTCCACCCGCTAGATGCCAGTGGCACTCCTGTACCTGCCATTCCAGTGGTGACAACCCTAAATATCTCCTGACACTGCCAAATGACCTCTGGGGGCAAAATCACCCTTAGTTAATAATTACTGGATGAAGAAGTCGCAAGATGCAGGGATCTTGGGTTCTTGAGTCACCGTGGGGATAAAGTTCCTCCAACCCTGAACACCCATATTGGACTGTTTCATAAATGAGAAACTCCTGTTGTGTCAACACATTCCATTAGGGGAGCTATTTGTTACAGCAGTCAGCATGCCTCTGACAAATACAGCGCTCAGTGCAGAAAGCTTGGAAAGAATGAAAAGCGTAAAGGGAAAAACAGAACTCATGCATGAGCCCAACACTCAGAGATAACCATTGCCACATCTGCACGTATATTCTTCTAGTTTTTTCTATGATTGCATTCAGATATATATTCATTTATTTATTTATTCGTTCAACAAATACTTTTTGAGTGCATACCATACGCATTTATATATGATATTTAATTCGCTTAGTGACACAAGTGATATATAAATATGAATTCCCCTTGTAAAAAATCACACCTAAATTCCCTTTGATCCACTCCCTCTCTCAGGAAAATTCTCCCCATAGGACCCCACTACTAGGAAGTTTGGAACATATCCTCCCAGAGGTGTTCAAAAATATGTGTATAGAAAATATATAGCATTGTTTTGTAAAATATAAATGGTATCGTACCAAATACATCAGCCTGCAACCTGCTTTTTCCATTCAGCAATGTGTCTTAAACTCCTGTCCACATCAGTATATAGACATGTACCTCATTCTTTTTAACTGCTGTATTGTATTCCATAATGGATATTCCACAGTTCACAATTCAATAGAGATGGATGGACATTATAGTAAGTGTGTGTGTATTATACATATAACATAACTATATATTCTATTATATAATAATAGAATGTAACTGTATATTATATATAGTTAGGTATGTTAATATATCAAGAAATAATTAACACATTGATATTAATATATAACTAATATATTATGCATTAATATATATTAATATTATATTGAAAGATAACTATATATCATATATAATATAACTCAGCAATTATACTTCTCGAAATTCATTTTAAAGAAAGCACACGTGCCCAAGAATTTGTAAAGCTGTTCATCTCAGCACTGTTTGTAATAATTGAAAAATTGGAAAACAATCTAAATATCACTTAGTAGGAGTTATATATTATATACACTATATAATATATGTATAATTTATCCACTTCAAAAAATATATATGTATATTATATACATATATATAACACATTATATATATTTAATTGCATATATATTATATATGTAATTATATACACTGTAATACAACATATGCAATTGCATATACATGCCATATATACATATATAATATATGTAATTATATATAGTATAATTGTGTGTGTGTATATATATATATGTAATTGCCTAGCCTATGGGTGGCACTCATTATAACTTTTTAAACTGGATGGGTGAATAAGGAGTGGGATCCTATTTTTGCCTTGCTGTCATGGAGAATCTTAAGCAGAGACTGAAGTGGAATGGTACCAGGAATTCTCTCGTACCAAGCACAAGGCCCTTCGTCTGTCTCAGTCTCACCCTCTCACTTCCTTCCCCTCCTGAATTATACTGAAGCAAATCCCAGAGGTGATATAATTTCATCCACTAGATATTTCTGCACATGCTGCTTTGAAGACTTTTTTCCTCTTAGAAAAAGACTGTGGACACTTCCCATGTCCAGATTTGGTCTTCTACAATAGCAGGATTCTTAATGGCTGCACAGAATTCTCATTGGGATCAGTCATCATTTGTGTAACCAATTCTCATTGTTAAACGTAGCTAGTTGGATTAGTTTAAGCCAGGAGTCAGCGACCTTTTTCTTAAAGGGCCAGAGAGCAGATAATTTGGGCTTTGTGGGCCATAGGGTCTCTGGCAGCTACTCAGCCACTGTAACACAAAACCCTTTGTGGACAATGACGGCAGATGAGTGGGTGTGGTGTGTTCCAGTAAAGCTTTATTACTGAACACTGAAATTTGAATTTCCTATAATTTTCACATGTCAAGAAATCTCCTTCTTTCGATTTTGCTCTCAGTCATTTAAAAACACAGAAACCATTCTTAGCTCTTGGGCTGTACAGGAGCAGTGGCAGGTTGGATATGGCCTACCGGCCGTAGTTTGCTGAGCCCTGAGGAGTGCCATTGTAGACCTTGGGCCTCCCAGTCCTTGCAGGGCAGGCAGACTTCTTGTGTCTCCTCATGCCCTTCTGGGAGGCTCCAGCAATCGATTCACAAGTCTTTGTTGAGGAGACTCTAGGCCAGAGGCCACGAGGCAATTGAAGAGTAGGAGACCCAGGCCCTGCCCACTGGGAGCCTCGGTAAGAGTCGCCTTGGGGGACAGGCTATCTGGCATGACTAAAATACCAGAGGGGCACAGACACTGAGGAGAAAAGGAAGTCAGGAGAGGGGGAGATCTGGGAGGGCTTCCCGGAGGAGGCAGGATTGGAGCTGGGCCTGGAAGGTGGGGTGGAGGGAGCAGAGTTCAGGATGATGACCTAGAGTGAGGGCTCTGGGGTGCCGTGCAGACCTGCGGGCATGAGGGACAATCTAGACCCACTCCTCCCCCTGATACAGCCTCTGGTACATAATATTTCTGCCTCCCTGTGCTCCTATCTAAAATAAGATGAAATAAAACACAATAAATACAAAATAAATAACTTAGAATCCCTGAGTGTGGGAAATGGACAAGCTCAGATGCTCCTGCGTGGAGTGTAAGTGGATGCAACATTTTAGAGGGTGATTTTTCAATTTCTCTCAATGTTTGTAATGTTTATAGGCTTTAACTCAGCAATGCCATATCCTGATATTTATTCTAAAGGAAGCACACACGTGCACAAGAATATATAAGGCTGTTTACCTTGGCACTGTTTGTAACAATGAAAAGTTTGAAAATAACCCAAATATCCATTAGTAGGAGAATTGTTCTAAAATTATGATTTGTCTAGACTATACAATATAGAATAGTAAAGTATAGTATGTAATATATGTGTGTGTATAGATATATAGTATAATAAAGTACAGCATATATTATAAAGTATAGTATATTATATACAGTAGAGTATATAATATATATGTGTACATACATAGTATAATAAATTATAGTATATAATATATAGTATATATCCTATATAATAAAGTATAGTATATAATACATATAGTATATACACTATATAGTGTAATAAAGAGTGTAATAAAGTATAGTATATGATATATAGTATATATACACTATATAGTATAGCAAAGTATAGTATATAATATATATAGTACATATACTATACTATAGTATGCTATACATATAGTATATATGTAGTAGATGATATACTATATGTGTGTATATATATACACTAGATATAGTATAGTAAAGTATAGTATATAATATGTGTAGTATATATATGCTATACATAGTATAGTATATAGTGGAGGATAGTATATAACATATAGTGTGTGTGTGTGTGTGTATATATATGCTACATAGTGTAGTATAGTATAGCAGCTGTTAAAAAGAACGAAGTAGATCCACATGTCCTGTGCTCATTGTCCTCCATCTTCCTGTCCAGAACCTCTCTCTCCCCTTCCCCACCTCATTCTCTGCCCTGGGGGCTGGCCTATGTGGATCACAAAGGGCTCCTCGGCCCTCTGGCTTCTGGTTGGATTCAGCCAATGGGAAGCTCCAGTGGGAGATGGGCGGGAAGTGGGAGAGAGAGGCTGGGGTATTTACTCCCCTGCTCCTTCCCCTCCAGGTTGCCTCAGGCCACCTGTGTCCCTCAACTAAAGGTCACGGGTTATCTCTACACAGCTCTCTCCTGGGACCCTGTAACATCCCCCTCTCCTCGCCCCACTGGCCCTGGGTGGTAGCAGTGTCCCCAGCCACCTCCATCGGTTTCCCTAAGCCCTGCCCCAGACCATTGTAATTAGTCCCTTTATTAAACTCTTCCCAACTGCTCAGTTACCCAATTTGACACATGCACTAACATATATTAGTATATGCTGAGAAAAAACCTGGAAAAATACACACTTGAACAATTCAAGAAGGTTGTCTCTAGGAAGGGGGCATGTGGGGCCCTATAATTTTTGGTTCTATATTCTATAACATTTGGAACTTTTACATCAAACATAAGCTTTTATGAGCAGAAGAAAATGATTGAAAAATAGCCTGAAATAATGAAGAACTTCACAGGCACCACTCAAATCCAAACAAAACCTTCATTCGGAGGGGCCCAGGCTGGCATTTCTGGAGGCAGAGCTCCCTCCCTCCCTGCCCGGCTGCTCCCAGACACCCCTCCTACCTCAGGCGTGTACACATAGGCTGCCTGGAAGCCTCCAGAAATGAACGCTCTTGCAATGAAGAGTAGGAGAGTGAGCATGTTTCTGTGGAGAGAAGAAAAACAGATGAGCAGGTATTTTTTTTTTTTTTTTTTGTCAACTTGTTTCAGCAAAGTCCTATGTGCAGAATTTACACCCTAGAAATTGGCAAAGCCCACCCCAACCCGACACACATTCTTGCACACACATCCCAGCGCCCTCTCTAAAGGCCTGCTTTTATAGGTTTATCATTCCCCCAAGCTCCAGGCTGAGATGGAAACATCTGTGGCGCCCAGGTTGGGGAGCAGTGATATAAATAATCGAAGACCCAGACAGGACCTTGTAGGGGCAGGAATTGAGCCAGGAACCAGCTGAGCCAGGGAAAGTAAACTTCTATTCAGTATTTTTAGGATAATCCTGATCCCAAACCTTCTGTTCCATCGTTCCCATAAGTGTCTGAGAATGCCGACATTTCAGGGTCTAGGCTACATCTCCAGACCTTCTACAGATTCCTCATCGGGTTTGGTCTGGGGCCTCTCAGAGGTCAAGAGAGGCACAGGCCACTTCCGCATTTTGAGGCTCTTGATAGATGGGAAAATGGAGAAATGCCAAAAGGGGATTACAAACAGGACCTTGAAATATTTCCATTGAACAAATGAGCACTTTTAACCCACACATAAATTAAACAGCTATATGGATGATCTCATTGGGAGATGACGTCCAAGTCTGAATGTGATGGTGTTGGAGCAAAGCCTGGACTAAACTGCCCTCCCACTTCCACCCCCATCAGAGGCCCCAACTCTGAGCCTGAGCTTTTGGTCAGTTATGAGGCAGCCAAGACCCCAGTCCCAGGGAGAGGCTGGGGGCACCCCTCAGATGACCCCCCGGGGGTGTAATCCACAGCCTGCAGCCCCAAAGAGCCGCTGACCATGACCTGAGAAATAAGCCTGCTGGCCAGAGAGCTGGTTTCACGACCCACCTTCCAACACAGATAAACAGCAGGAGGCTGCAGAGGGAGAAGGTGACGAAGCATAGCGCCATGGTCTTCTTGCGGCCCAGGCGGTCGATGATCCACAGAGTCACAAGGACACCTGGAAGGGAGCAGGGGCACCACGTAGGCAGCTTCTGACGTGGCTCCCAATGACCCCCACCTCTTGGTTTTCATACTCTGTATAGTCCCCTCCCCTTGAGAGCAGGCTGGACTTGTGACTCCCCTCTAATGACTATAATACAGCAAAAGTGGTGGGATGCCACTTCTGAGATGAGGCTATAAAAGACGGTGACTTGTGTCTTGCTGGCATTCTCCCTCCCCCTGGCTCTTCTCATGCACTTGCCGTGATGGAGAAGGCCATCTGGCAAGCAGCTAAAGGCGGCCTCTGGCCAACAGCCAGTGAGGAACTGAGGCCCTCGGTCCAATGATCGTCGTGGAATCGAATACTGCCAGCAACCACGAGAGTGAGTGTGGAAGCACATCCTGCCCCAGTTGAGCTTTCGGATGAGACTGCAGACCCTGGTCCAACACCTCCATTGCAGCCTTGTGGGATATGCTGATGCAGAGGACCCAGGTAAGCCACTCCCAGGTTCCTGACCCACAGAAACTGTGAGTCATAAATATGTGTTGTTTTAAGCCATTAGAATTGGGATAACTAATACAGGCACCAAGGGGGAGTGGCATTCACTGAATCCAGGCAGCAGACACCTGGAATGGGAGTCAGAAACACCTGGTTCTAAGGCTCCATCTTGCCTCTAACTTGCCATGTGGTCTTGGGCTAGTCTCTTGCCTTCTCTGAGCCTCAGTTGCTTCATCAGCAACACGGGACTAAATGAAAATAACACTCCCTACCTCAATAGAGACAGTATGGCACAGTGCTTATTATTAATAAATACAATTAAATCTGGGCCAAGCACTTTTACATCTATTATCTTGTTTAATCATCACAACTATCCATAAAAAGAAAAAGATCATCACAACCACCCGTAAAAGAAATGCTATTAATAGCCTTGTTTTCCGGGCCAGCCCCAGTGGCCCAGTGGTTACGTTCAGCGCACTCTGCTTCGGTGGCCCGGGTTTAGTTCCCAGGCGTAGACCTACAGCGCTCTGTTAGTGGCTATGCTGTGCTGGTGGCCCACATACTAAAAAATAGAGGAAGACTGACACAGATGTTAGCTCAGGGTGAATCTTCCTCAGCAAAAAAAAAAAAAAAAAAAAGTCTCGTTTTCCACATTTATTCAATCAATACAGTTCCTGCCTAGTGTGTGTCAGGAACTGTTCCAGGATCTTGGGATGTGTCAGTGAACAGAAACAACAAAACAATAAATGTAATTAATAAGGAAGAAGAATCTGGGTTTCAGAAAGGGTACAGCATGGAAAGGATGAGTGCTTGAAGTCGTGGAAATGGTGTTGGCAATGTTGAGTCTAATTCCAGAGCCTTTAATCTTACCTACCAGGTTATGTGGGGAGAGGGTTTTAGACAGCAGACAGACAGTGTAATACAGGAGGGAAGACTCTGGGTCCTGGGGTGGGACCACAGGTCTTAGCTCTCCCAGCTGCAGGATGCTCAGTATCTTAGTTGGGTTTTCCCAGAAGCAGACTGTGGTACAAGGGTCCAAGGGCAAGGTGTTTACTTGGGAAGTCTTCCAAGGAAGAACCAGCAAGAGAGTGAGGAAGTGAAACGGGGAAGGGAAGCAACTAATAGTGGTGCATATTGGGCAGGTCACCACTGTGGGCAATGCTGCCGAATTCCACTGGGGGACTCCGGGAGCCAGTGTGGAATAGGCACCGTAGAATTCTCCTGCCTGATGGGCAAGGAAGCCGCGGTATTCATACACCATCTCCCACAGTTATCGTTTGAAGGCTCTTCCCAGGGGTTAACTCCCTGGCACTTGCAGCCACCTTGCCTGCTTTGAGATACTGAGGCTTACCATTCTTCCTGAGACAGCCCTCAGGCACGGAGATGCAGATACTGGCAGCTGCAAGTTGCAGGACCAGTTTCTGCTACACCTCTCTGAGCCTCAGTTTCTTCAGCTGTAAAATGGGACTAATTATATTACTTCACAAGATTAAATGAGGCCATATTTGTAAAACATTTAGCACAGTGCCTGGTATACAGTAAGCACTCACTAAATACTAGATATTATTACTGTTATAATAACCATTATTCACTTTAAAGGAAAAAGATCACTTTTGCTTTATGTGCCGGTTTGGATTTTTGACACCCCACTGATCCTTTCCAGTGTGACGGGCTGGTGCACAATTCTCCATGGGTCTCCTGTATTTCTGCACATCTAGTGAGCAGAGGCACTAGCTGCCCTTTTGTTCCAGACTATCATTTCCAGGCTGTTTGTATAGCAAACAGCCTTGGAAGATAGAGATACAGTCTCTTTCTAGAGCAAAAGGCAGGTCTATTTACTGTCTGAATTAATAAAGGTGATGTCTTCCTCTGGGGCAAAAGCTGGGCAGATCCCTGGCAGCCCATTATAAAAAAATTTGGGTTCCCAAAGCTTGAGACTCCTCAGCTGTGTTGCAAATCCACTGCATGTGTAGCATCCACCTGGGCCCTTCCTCATCATCCCAGTGGAACTTGGGGGCCAGGGGAGCTGACACTAATATACTGCTCATGCTGCTTCCTGTGCCGTAAGTAATAATCTTTTGTCTCTGACCCAGGAGTCTTGTGTCTTCTGCCAAGTATGCACGAAACTGGGCAGCTTAACGCGTCAGCCTTCAAGTAGATGACACTTCAGTCCCTTCACAGTTCTTGACAACTTGTAGCTAAGGATTTAAAAAAATTATCCCCAGCTCCCCTAGAAATGGGATTTGCTTCCAGGCAGCATCAGGTAGAGCCACCAGCTGAACAGCTGCGGCGTCCTCAGGCTTCCCTGCCCCAGCCCCGCCTTGCACAGGTCCCTCACCTGGGAACTCCGAGAGGGTGGTCCACAGCAGGTCCATGTAATCCTCCTCACTCAGGTACTCACAGGCCAGGCTGCATTTTGCCTCTACCGCCTTCTTCCGGCTGGAGACTGGGAGCGGGAGACAGAGAGAAAGAGAGGAGCCATGCACAGAGCCTTGAATCACACCCTCCTGCTCCCCACACCTCCTTCCCTGGGTGTGAGTCAGCTGGGGTGCCACGGGAAGAGCCCAGACTCAGGAGTCAGACAGACTTGGTTTGACTCTCAACCAGCAGTGCTACAGCACCATCTCTTGCAGCCCCAGTTTCCTCGTAAAACTGGGGCTAATCAAACCACTGGGCAAGGTGGTTGAGACAATGAAAGCAGGCTGTGCGTATGAATGTGCTTGGTTCAGAACTGGGACATACTAGGTGCTTTTGTGGCAGACAGACTCTGGGATGGCCCCAGTGATCCCCTGCCTATATTATCTGGCCCCCATTACCTCCTTGACCCCACCTTCTCTTTCTGTCTCCCTTCACCTGCTCACTCTACTCCAGCCACACTGGTCTCCTTGCTGTTCCTTCAACAAGTGAAGTCCTGCCTCAGGACCTTTGCACTGACTGCTCCCTCTTCTTGGATTGCACTTTATCTATCCCCATGACTAATTTCTTCACCTCCTTCATGTCTTTCTTTAAATCTCATCTTCTCATTGAGGCCACCCTGACCATCCCATTCAAAACTTCAACCTACCCAGGGTCCCTTGCCCTGCCCCATACTCCTGACTTCCCTTATCTTGTTCTACTACCTTTTTTGTCTCCCATATCATTTGTTAGGAAATAGTGTGAAAGGGTTGAAATGGGCAAAAATGTCTTGTCTAGTGCACCCTTATATGTTATCACACCTTTCGTGATCTTTGAGCTATTTTACAGCTCTGCACATTATAGAATACTGACACTAATGCAAATGATTCTTATCCATTGAAAAGCAAACTGTAGCTGGTGGTGATATAGTTGATTATTGCCCTGTGCATACTGAGAAGTTTTGCCTCTGATTGTAAATCCATTTCAGCATTTCTGATTGCCTATAGACATGAGTGTTTTGAATTCTCCTTTGAACCAGTTGCAGCCTCTTCCTGGTGTGAGTAGACAATTCTCCATGGGTCCCTCACATTTCTGCATGTTTTAGAAGCAGAAGCACTGACTGCCTTTGTTCTGGACCATCTTTTCAAGGACTTTTGTTTAGCACACAGCCTTGCAAGATAAAGAGTATGGAGCAAGGGTTTGCTTACGGCCTTCAAAGATACAGCATCTCCCTGCAGGGCCAAGGGCAGGCAGGCTTACTATCCAGTATAAAAGATCTGGGTGCCTTAACCTTGGGATCCTCTCTGGTCACACAACCCACTGCTTTTGAGGTGTCACCTGCCCTCTTCACATTGCCCAGTGGGAATCGGGGCTCAAGAAATTGATGTAAGAAAATGCTGATACTCTAGCTACTGCTATTACTGTGAGCAATAAAGTCCTTTGTCTCTGACCCAGGAGTGTTGTGTCTTCACAGACTGTCTGTAGAAACTGTGAAAGGCTAACTTGTTAGCTTACAAATAGGTAAAATCTCAGACTTTTCACAGTTCTTAGCAACTGGTTCATTCATTAATTGATGAGTTAAATAAAATAAAGTCTTTGACATATATTCATTTTATATGTGTACGAGAGGCATGATATTACCTTTTCTTTGAAATTTTTCCTTTAATACACCTATCACCTTTGACAAGAGATTTTCACATATTGAAGTATATGGGGTAGCTATTCTGGTTTAAAACTGATTCAGATTGAACTAAAGAAGCCTGACTTATGGCCTATCAAACAGACATCTGCTTTAACCATTAAAGTGAAGAGTGCGCTAAACATTATCTCAAAGTAAAAGAATGCACTCTTTTAAGATAAGAATGCATACTTCCCCTCCTACATGCCAGCATCCAGCATTGGTAATGCCATATCAGTACTCCACAAGATAACTTCCCCTGCCTGGACATCAGGGTCATGTTGACCTGCTAATTTGCAACTGAATACCTCTTGAAACTTTGATGAATATGTATCCTGGGTGTGTTTAATGTACATTCTTTATTCTAAAAAGGCATAAAACTGTACTGAAACCATGCTTCTCCCGAACGATTTCTTCCTTTGTGGAGACCACCTTTCCAGACTCTAGTCCTCAGCTTGGCTCAGGTGAAGGTCACCTTATCTCTCTTATCTACAGAATGGTGATTGATTATTTGCATTGGCATCTTTTAACACACCATAAAATTTCCTTACTTATTAGGCTATTTTCTCTCTCTCTTTTTCTCTCTCTCCACCAAAATGTAAGCTCACGGGGCAGGGATATTTGTCTTTTGTATCCTCTGATACATCCTGACAGCTGAACCAGTACCGCGCATGGAGAAAATACTTATTGAAGGAACGACTTGCCCAACTTCACACAGGTACTTGCTGCCAGAACCCAGGCTCCCTGATGTCCAGGCGTGGGCTTTTCACAGTATCACTTTCCCACCCAGGTACAACAGAGAGTTTTTTTTTGTGTGTGAGGAAGATTAGCCCTGAGCTAACATCTGTTGCCAATCCTCCTCTTTTTGCTGAGGAAGATTGGCCCTGGGCTAACATCCATGCCCATCTTCCTCTATTTTATATGTGGGATGCCTGCCACAGTGTGGCTTGACAAGCGGTGCGTAGGTCTGCACTGGGGATCCAAACCCCCAAACCCCGGGCCACCGAAGCGGAAAATGCGAACTTAACCACTACACCACCGGGCCGGCCCCCAAGAGAGAGCTTTTAACTGGGGTTGGCAAACTGTCACCTGTGGGCTAAATTTGGTCTCCTGCCTGTTTCTGCCTGGCCTCCATACTAAGAATGGTTTTTACGTTTTAAATGATTTTTAAAATCAAAAGAAGAATAGCATTTCATGACACAAAAATGATAGGAAATTCAAATTTATGTTCATAGACAAGGTTTTACCGGAACAGAAGCAACGCTTGTTCCTTTCCATATTGTCTATAGCTGCTTTTCTGCTGCAGCCGCACAGCTGTGTGGCCCACCAAGCCTAAAATACTTACTATCTGGCCCTTTATAGAAAGTTCGCCAACCCCTGCTTTATAACATTCCACTGGGACCCCTGCTTTGCTTAAGCAGGCCCACTGTTAGGGGCACGCAATTTATGCTCAATCAATACCAAATCCCAAATTTACAATCGAGCTGCTTGCTCAGAGCAGTTTATTTAGACTCTCTCACACACACCCCACGCCCCAGTGAGATGTGACTCCGTTATCTTATTAAAGCCTTATGCCAATAAACAAAACTATTAACTAAGATTACAGAGGCTTAATATGAAAAAGATAATTGGGCAAATCCTGCAGACAAGCAAGAAATTGAACCCTGTATCCCCACCGTGGGTTCAATGCTGGGAATCTAGTGTTCTCTTAAACACAGAATGGTTTGAAAGCCCAGACATCTGCTTATAGGCTTTGCTTTTTATTTATTCCTTTTGTCCAGTGGTTCCCACCTCCAGCGGCACAATAGAATCACCTGGGGAGCTTTTAAAACCCACTGATGCCTGGGCCCCACCCCCAGAGATGCTGATTAAATTGTTGTGGGCTTTGTTTAAATGGCACTGGCATCCTTGAAAAGCTTCCCCAGGTGATTCTGTTGTGTGGCCAGGGTTGAGATCCAACCCAGGTCTCAGACTTAATGTGCACCTGAGAATTGCTGCACGGGGTCACAGCCATCAAACTTGGCGCTGTACTTCCTGGAGCTCTTTAGGGGACGTCAGATGTGACTCAGCTCTAACGTCAGTTCTATCAGGACAAGACTGTCCAGGTTTCTACAGAGTGCCTTGGAACCACAGCCCAGATCTCCGATGCTCAGATTGTGCAGAAACTTTCTCTCTGGAGTTTGTGGGGTAGAGTCACTGGAATTTGTGCAAGGCCAGGCCCTGTGAGGGCAGAACCTGGGGTGGGAGTGTGTGTATGACTGTGTGGGTTGGGAGTGGGGGTAGCTAACTGGTCGAGAAGTCTAGATACTCACGGCTGCAGACGTCTCCCGCCTGGAAGAGCTCAGTGGTGAGCAGAACTAATCCATAGTAAGAAAACGCATTGGAAAACCTGCCAGGAGGGAAGTACGAAAGGTGAAGAAATGATGAGGGAGGTGCAAGTCCCCTTTCCCCATCTCCTCGGGGACCAGTCTTTGGGCATCGGCCACACTGGGCCTCTGGGGGCTTTCCTGGGGCCCTCGAGCAGGAAGATGGCAGGTACAAAGCATGGCAATGTGATAAAGGGAAGTGATCCTGTGTCCTTTGAAAGACCAAGAACTGTATTATGTGACAGAGACATGCCACCCCCAAGGCTGTTTACTCAACTGGCAATTGAAGGGGAAAAAAGTTCGGGGGACCAAAATTTGGAAGAAAACAATCACTGTTGACATTTATCTGTCAGGGCTTCCGGGTCGAGGTGGTCAACTTGGATAGGGGAGAGGAGAGAGAAGCTTTGATAATATGTGAGACTGGGCTCCAGCTCTGCCCCAGCATTCCTGAGAGCTGAATCAACTCACCAAGCATTTATTAAACACCTGCTGTGTGCCCAGTACTAGTGTGGAGTCTGTAGACTTCACTAGAATTTCAGATCAGAATGACACAGTTAATTCCCGACTGTCCCAGGAACCAGAATACTCAAGTCTATAGGACCAGAACATTCTCGTCCTGTAGTAGTTACGTGGGAACTGGGTTATAATCAGACACCCATGATCAGTTTCCTTGGATTACAATACGTGCCGGCAAATTTAGTGATTTCTACAGTGCACTAAAATTAGTCTAACTCATTGCTTCAGTATTCAGGTAGTGTCCGCCAACAAAATCACGGGCACTCAAAGATAAAGACTCTGTCCTCACCCCACCCTCTCTGCTCTCTCTTCAGAAATCTTGCAGGCTCCACACTTGTACTGGGCACACAGCAGGTGTTTAATAAATGCTTGGTGAGTTGATTCAGCTCTCAAGAATGCAGAGGCCTAGCTGGAGGCCAGTTTTGTACGTGTTATCAGAGCTTTTCCCTCCTCTTCCCTGCCATTGGCCACTTTCAGGACACCCTTCTGCTGATTAGCACCTCCGCTTAAAGGTGAATGGAAAAAGCGAGAACTGGTTAAAAGAGAACATAAAGCCTTAGCCAGGCCAGTTTTGTGCAATGTTCATGCTGTGTACACGATTTGGTAGAAAGAGTTCAAAAAATAGCTGAAATTTGACTCCCTGCAAATGGCCCCCCTCCGGCCACTGCCAACGGCTATTTAAGAAAAGTCGAACAGGATCGGATCTGGAAGTTCTAAGGATGCCCTTGTTGACCTAATCAATGGGTCCCAAAATAGGGGCCCTGTGCCACTGGTGGTACCCAAGGCAATATGGGAGGAGAGGGGGACTGAATATAGCAAAAAGATTAAATCTCATTGTGAAAAAAAATTCCCTTGTAAGTTTCCTTTTGATTATTTTGATTACATTCCAGTCTCACTTATATGCTAATGAGTCAACAGCTCTCTCTCTCTCTCTCTCTCTCTCTTAAATACAGTGGCTCAGTGCCTTGGCAAACCATCAATCCAGCTACTTTTTACTGACATTATCTTTAAGACTGCCTTTTATCTATGGCCTGAAATTAAGATTTTTTTCCTTCAAAGCAGACATAAAATTTCCTTTTAAAAGACATTTATCTGAGTAAAAAGTGAGTCAAATTAAAGAAAAAAAACTAAGGAAATAATAATACAAGTGATCCCTGGATAAAACAGAAGTCAGGAAAGTGATGCTCAAACCTCTGAATTATGCAAATGCTGTCTGAGATTAGAGTTCTCTGTATTTTGAGTTAAAACAAAACCCTAAACAGAGCACGGTGGAAGGGAATCAAAGGGTCAGTAAATAGTTCTTACCATATAAACCACAGCAACAATGTTGTCCATCTAAAATGGGGCGTGAAAAGGTCCCTCATTTTGCCTCGGTCTTCCTGTTTCAAGACAAAGGCGTGCTGTTTACTCTCCTCCCCTCCAGATGTGTGGGCACAGGCTGGTGGTCTGAGACCAGTGGACAGCCACGGCTTGAGGGGAGGATTCTGGTGGGCTGGACACTCGGGCTACAGAACCCAGGACTCAAATCCACAGCACTCAGCCCCCAAGCCCAGCAAGGCTGATTTGGCCCTTCCAGCCAGGACTCAGCAATGTCCAGAGGCTTGATGCCCAAAGGATGGAGACATTCCACACCCCCCACCCCCAACCTGGAATCCTGGAGCTGGGAAGCAGACTCCTTAGGCTTGGCCCCTCTGTGGCCTCTCAGGTAGTCCCATGGACCCAGAGAGCAGAAAACCAGTTCAAGTGGTGTCCAACCATTTCACAGCCACCCCCACCCAAAGCCTGCTCTAGGCCAAGGTGACAAAAATCAGTATGATGAAAATCAATTCACCAATAGTCAATTTGCCAAAAGATTGGTTAGCTAAATGACCCATTTTCTAATTTCATATAATTTACTAATTTATCAAATCTTTGCTTTACAAAGTTCTTTTTAAAAATACATGTTCTATGGGGCCAGCCCAGTGGCGTAGTGGTTAAGTTCTCGAGCTCCGCTTTGGGGGCCCGGGGTTCAGGGATTCCGATCCCAGGCACAGACCAACAAACCACTCATCAAGCTATGCTATGGTGGTGTCCCACATACAAAACAGAGGAGGATTGGCACAGTGTTAGCTCAGAGCTAATCTTCCTCAGCAAAAAGAGGAAGAGTGGCAACAGATGTTAGCTCAGGGAGAATCTTCCTCAGCGAAAAAAAAAAAATCTCTCTCTATATATGTATTCTATGACTGTGATTATATTCTTCTTAGATATGCTTAATGAACATATTTTTCTTAGTAGTTTGAGAAATTCTGTTATTTAAACATGCTAAAAGTTAAAAAAACAAGATTATGGGTTATAGGTGATTTAGTCTTCTATGAGTATTGTCTTTATGAATAAAAATATTTTTGTAGTATATTCTTGTATAAAAAGATACTTAATATTAATTAATATTAATTATTAATTATCAATATTCATTAATTATGTTTATTGATATATTTGAGAATGTTTGTATTTATTGAATATATTTTGGAATAAATTCATTACTATATTTAGGAATAGATTCATTAATATATAGAAATATGTATTAATAATAGAAATAATATATAATAATAGAAAGAATAGCTTAATGAATAGATTATTAACATATACATAGGAAAAATATATTCCTATTTAATAATTCCTGGGGCCAGCCTGGTGGTGTAGTGATTGGGTTTGTGCGCTCCACTTCAGAAGCCCGGCGTTTGCAGGTTTGGATCCCCTGGCATGGACCTACACGCCACTTACCAAGCCATGCTGTGGCAGCGTCCCATATATAAAGTTGAGGAAGATGGGCACAGATGTTAGCCCAGGGCCAGTCTTCCTCAGCAAAAAAGACGAGGATGGGCAACAGATGTTAGCTCAGGGCTAATCTTCCTCACCAAAAAAAAAAAAAATTTCTTAAAACACGTTTTCAGTAAATTGATACACTGCTGAAGTTAATTGAGGAAAATTGACTTTTGGGGAACTGGTCTGCTTCTGGAAAGCCCTTGTCTCCTCTTTTTGCTTGTCTGAGGATTCACCACCTGCTTGGAGCCTTCCTGGACATCCTAGGGGAAATGAGCTCTCTCTCCATGGGTCTCCATGCGCCGGCCTCTGCATCTGCTCGGCACCTGCCCCAGTGACCGCCATGGAAAAACAGCCCCTGCTGCAGAGACGAACCAGGGGCAGCAGCTCCTTTCCAAAGCAGAGTCCCCAGCTGGAGCCTTCACCCTCGCCGCTCTCACTTGGGACACATTTGAAAACACTGCACACCTTCTCCAGCCAGAGCATGTTCACACAGGAGCAGGGGGCGGGGTGGGGCGGGGAAACACGAGTCTCACCCCAGACGCAACTAAATGAGCCTCCTGCACCCCAGGCTCTTTGGGGTGGCCCCTGCCGCTCCCCTGCGGTTCCCAAAGTGGATCCGGGGTATGTCTCCTGGCCTCCGTGTTGTCAGACCTTGCCAAACACCTCCTCTCAATCTGGTGAAATTGCGTTCAGCTCTTTTTGCATAATATAGAAACAATCAGAAATATAATTTTATTTTAAAAGATAATTGCCTTGTAGGGCCTGTTGTTTGCTAAATCTATCACGTTTCTCCATGCCGCTGGGACGCTTCCTGAGAGCAGGGACTACAGCCTCTAGTCTGGATCCCCGCTCCCCGCGTGCCCCCCACCTGCGCCCGCGGTAGGTCTGGTAAATTTTCCATGTGGTAGGTTCCCCGATGGTGTTACCACGGGGAGTGAAGCACCATCCATAAGGACGTCTACACAGGCGCGGTTTAGCTCCCTGCATCTAAGCCTACCGCGGCACTTGCTAACGTGGTTTCACCGTCCAGCCACTGCCGATCCATCACATTTGCTAATCAGGCATCATCTGATCCGAAAGGTGAAACCGACGCGGGAGTAGTTACGGGATCCATTAGCGACATGACATTTCTCCAATCGCTGGCTAAACTCTCCAGGTGGCACTTTTAGGACATGGCAGTGAAAACACACGGACTGGAGTTGCCAAATCCCCTCGCAGGTCCTGCGCGCTGCGCCCCCACCGGCTCCACGCACCCCAGGAGCACACAAACACGCATGCGCACGCCGCAGGTCCCGCCAGGCGCTGACCTGTCTGGAGACGATGAGTTTCCCCAGCGGCATGGGCGCTCCGTTTTCTGTCGCTATCCTCTTTAGGGTGGCGATGGCCTTTTCCTGGTTGCCAGACAGCACATCGTACCTCGCACTCTCCGGCAGCCACTGTGGGGACAGGAGACCCAGGCGTGGCTGGTTAGGGTGGAGGGGAACCCTGGGTCCCAGCCACGCACTCTCATGTGTGTGTGGAGCCTTTAAGGATGGAGGCTCTGGAACCCCAGGCCTGGCTTCAAATCCTGGCTCTGCCGTTGATTATATTGGCTGTGTGCCCTCGAGCAATTGCTTGACCTCTCTGTGCCTCCATTTCCTCATCCATCAAATGGGGACAATAATAGATCCTACCTCTTAGAGTTGTTGAGAGGATTGAATGAGATAATCCAGACAAAGTGCTTAGCACAGTGCCTGGAATGGGTTAGTGTCGTTATTATTGTTGCCGTTGCTATTACTATTATTTGGTGCTGCTTCAGAGTTCCAGATGAAGGTTGGATTTAATTAAGACTGCCACTTTCACCATCATCGGAAATCTCACCCCCATCTCTCAAGAAATTATACCTCACCTGTGTTCAGCATCATCTTGCAAACTCAGTTTGAGACAGAAAGAAATCAGAAAGACCTTTAAGCCTAATAGAGTCCCAACCTCAAGTGACTAGATAAAAATATTTCTGTAAAACAAAGCAACAGCAATCCATGAAACGGCAGGTATGTTAGAGAGAGCGTGAGACTTGGAGTCAGAAGATCTGGTTCAAATTAGTTCTGTTGTTTATTTGCTGTGTGGCCTTTGATAAGTCAATCAACCTCTCTGGGCCTCAGTTTCCTCATCAGTAAAATGAGAATGTAGCAGATATTGCTAATGTCCATTAAAACTCGTGCTTCTCTTTCCATAGTATAAAGTCATCCTTGAATATGGCTGCCCAGCCAGGAACTACATTTCCCAGCCCTCCTTGCATCTAGGCAGGGCCATGTGATATGCTTTCACCAATGGCATATGAGCAAAATATTCCTGGCCAAGGTATTTAAGAAGTGAGTGTGCATCTCCATCCACCCTTCCCCAGTCTGTTTGTAGAAGACTCCAGGGCCCTAGAGCATGGCAGAGCTACAAGCTGGAAGGAACCTTGGTCTGGAATCACACTTGCCAAACAGGAGCACCCGTTCTGGACTGTTATTTGAGTGAGAAATAAACTATTGTGTTAAGTTACTGAATGTGCAGGCTTCATTTGTTATAGCAGCTGGTGTCATCCTAACTAATATGGGGTTCATTATAATCCTACCTCATGTGGTATTGGGAGGAATAAATATGATAATGCATGTAACAAGACTAGTATGGAGCCTGCTACTCAGTTATGCTCAGTAATTATCAATACTTATGGCCCTTACCAGGAATGATTAGGTTCTTTACCATAGATGAGACCTACCCACCTACAGGTTTATTTGGGGGCCCACTGGCTATAAAGTGTTTCAGTTATGTGGTCTACACATGAAATGATAAGTGTGTGCTATGATCTTGCTGGGGGATGTAGTTTATGCAGAACTAAGATGGAGAGATTGTTTGAGCTCCTTGGTCCAGCCATGCCTGAAGCTAGCTGTTTAATCCTCTGTCATGTGTCCATCTCTCTTTTAATCAAGCCAGTTTGAATTGGGGTTTTGTCACTTGCAATGTAAGAGTCCCAACTATTCCAAATACAGTCACCTTAAGTGCAGATCTTGCAGTGGTGGGGCCAAGGTATTCCCCTATCTCCCGCTATCTCCCTAAAGAACATCCCAGCAGTGTCTGTCTGGAGGAAACCCAACACCTCATACTGGGCCTACCCCAGGCCCTGTTCTTTTGTCTCATTTCCTGATTTAACAAAATAATCTTAAAAAAGGGGGCTTTGGTGCCCTCCTGCAAAAATATAGTGAACAGCAAAGGGCAAGTAGCAAAGGCTGAGATCTCGTAAAGGATACCTACAAAACACAGGACGGCAAAGAGGAGGAGCGGGACAGCCGAGAGGATGAGCAGCCAACGCCAGCCCAGGCTGGGCATCACAAACACAGCCAGGATGACCTCGAACACTGTCCCGATGGCCCAGAAGACCTGGCGTGGGAGAATGGGTGTCAGTGATGGGGGCAGCATGGTCAACACACGAGCAATTCCAGGGTGATTGTAGACGAGGCTATTGATGTGGATGGGGGTCCCTGGGGTTGGCAAGGTCAGAATGGCCATCACTTTTCCTGTGGTCCACATGGTTGGGCCAGAGCCTCCATGTGGTCCATCTCCCGAGGGTGCCATCCACACTGTATAATACTTGTGTGGCGCCCCCTGGAGTGTGCAATGTAGCAGCTCTGGTTAAGGAGATTAATATGAGCAATACTGTGTGAGGTCAATATGGTAGTGGACACACTGGTTTTTGTCTGCTGACACCCATCTCCCTTGCCCAACAGTGCCCCTGTATCCTTGATCAGAATTGCCTCTTCCCTGCCGGGCTGAGTAGCTTCTGTTTGCCTCTCCGAGTCACTCTCCATCCTTTTCCGCCTTGCTCTTTGTATGTACCGTATCCACAGGTTCCCTGTCCTCCGGCTTCCCACTGGGTGCAGCCAATGGGAAGCCCCACAGGAGATGAGAGGGAGGGAGGAAGGAAAGAGAGATTCAGGAGCTTATTCCTCTGGCCCCCTCTCTGCAGGGTGGTCGTGGGCTGGCTGCGTCCCTCAGGTGAAGGTCACAGCTCCCGTCCGCCAGCCCTGCCATTCAACTCTCTCTCTCTGGGCTGCTAATTACTTCTGCCCCTTGCCCCTTCAGGCCTGGGATGCTAACTCTCCTGCAGGCCAAAAAAGGATAGCCCCTTTTTATGAGACTCTCTTCAAATTATCCTGATTTGGGCATGCTGTTTCCTGCCTCAGCCTGAATCTACAACTATTGTCCATTTCAAAACATGGTCCTTCAGCTACCCCAACAGTTCTGGGAGCCCCCAAGAGCCTTCCTTAAATGTCCTTTTGCTTAAATGGACCACAGTCAATTTCTGTTGCTGACAATCAAAACGTCTAACTGGTACAGAACTGGCCAATCAGAATGGACGCTGGACACCGGTCATACACCCCCTCCAATGTGCCCGGAGTTAACTCCTTAGTAGCTGGATCATGGGAAGTTCTAGGGTGTCCTAAGAGAGGACAGGGTGTCAGGTGATGAAGGCAAGTCAGGGTTCAGGATCAGCTGGCACAGATAGATACATTTGAATATTTAGATACCTGGTTCATCCACATCAGTGTGGACCAGCTGACTACCATCCTGATTGGTCAGGGGTGGATGCAGTCAGGAGGGTGAAGATGGGATGTGGGGTCAATGTGATCAATATTGGCATGGTGATTAGAGAGTTCAATGGTATCACAGTCACCACTGTGGACCTCAGTGTCCGGCAGGGACAAATGAACATTACTGCCGCTGTATGGAGGAGGGGCCTTTGGGAAGCTATGTATTTGCCCTGAGATCTTCCAGACCATGGTTGGAAAAAGGGTCTCAGGACCCTGGCAGAAGGAGGGCTTGAGAGGGACTGGCTGGACCAAGAGAGTTTTAAGGCAGCATTTAGGCCACAGAGGGGGCCACTAACGGAGATCTCACACAAGACATGAGGGAGCCTGGGGGTAAACAAGGCTGGAGGGTGATGATATGGGTGGGGACAGGAGTTCAATCCACTCAGGTTGCACCATTCAGCGCCAACTCTCAGAAAAAAGCCATTTCCAGTTCAAGAAAAACATACCACCCACTTGCTACCGTTTGTTTTAAGGGACAGTAGATTGAATTTTCTTGTCAATTGAAGAATTTGTCCATATTGCAAAACAACTGTCAGAATCGACATAGCTGATCCATCTAAGTCTTTGCACACTGAGTCTGTTATATTTTTCTTAAACTCCCTTTTCCTTGTCCTGTGGCCCAAGACACTGGAGAATCTCCTGCTCAGAGAATGAGCATTCTCCAGAAACCCAGCCCACCTTCCTTACCTCAATCAGCAAAATGCACTTAGCTCTGGCTTTCATGGGAAGGAACTCAGCGTACAGCGTCACTCTGGGAAAGCAAAGAGACAGAAGAGGGGTTAAGGTCAGGACTGAGTGGGGACATTGCTACGGTTTTCTGAATTTCTAAGCCAACATTCCTCCAAGGGTGGTCTGTGGACCACTCACGTGAGGATTTCAGGGGATGATGGCTAAATATGCAGATCCCCAGGCCCCAACCCAGACCTTCAGAAACAGACTCTCAGGGGTGGGGCCCCGACATCTGCACTTAACTAACTCCCCATATGATTCTCAAATTTACTAACTACTGCCATTGAGCCTTCCCCACAACCCAGTGAATCTAGGGGAAAATACGGTGGTGGTTGGATGGGCAACTTCACTCTAGAACAGTCCCTCAGGTTTTCCCTATCACTTAGTCCCGAACAGTCTTAGAGGACCGGCTTTCATTCTGTCGGATGCCCCTCATCCTGGGTCCATCTGAGGTCTCCTTGTGACCAGACTCAGCCATGTTTTCTTGGCAGAAACCCTACAGATATGATGCTGAACGCTTCCCAATAGGGGACATGATGTCAATCCGTCCCATCACTGGTGATGTTAACTTTCATCACCTGATCACGTTGTCTGACAGACACACCCTAACATTATCATTTTTCTCTTTGAGATTAATGAGTACTTTGTGGGGGAGCATTCAGAGATTATGCCAATATCCTGTTCCCCACAGAACCTCTACTCATCAGCATTAGCATCCCATCCATTGACTATTTCTGCCTGAATCAACCACCACTATGATGGCAACATACGGTATTTTTTATTTCCATAATTCCTTCTACATTTATTAGTTGACATTCTACTGTAAGGAAGGACTTTCCCTTCTTCTCCCCTTAATCTGTCTGTCTATCTATCCATTCATTTAGTCAGTACGGACTTGTGGATTCCTATTTTATTCAATGGGTTGTAATCCATTACTGCCCTTATTCTTTTGATGCTCAGACTGTCCCAGATCTGGCCAGTGAGAGCCCTTTTAAGCTGATTCCTACGTCTTTGTGACATGTGTCCATCATTCCTTGAGCTCTTTCTTACTTTCTGGCATGAGAAGATGTCCAGGCTCACCTTGTAGTTTCTTTGCCCCAGTGATGGAGTCAGCCATTTTTCTAAGATGTCCTGGTTCCTTTTGGCAGAGGATGGTATTTAGAAACCAAGATCTGGGCGCTCAGTGTGCTCATTGCTACGAGGATTGTCATTGCTTCAAGGCCCTCAGAGGGCTAGCTAGCTATTCATCCTCCCTCTCTGTCTCTCCGTTTCTTTCTCTCTCTCCACACAACACCATACATCTATACCTATTTCTATATCCATCTGTGTATACGTATTTAAAAAAAACAATGAGTTCACACTGATACTTTCAATTCCAGTCCAACACCTTAGGATTCTTTCTAACCTTCCCAATTTCCATGTTTGTAATTCTGTTCTCCAACATTGAGAAATCTGTGTCTCATTCTCCTCAATATATTTACTTATCTGCTCAGTTTACTTGCTTGCTGAATGTAACCCATGTCTTGACCATCGTGCTTCCATGCCCCCTCCCCTCCCTTTCGCTTCCTCAGCCTTCGGGCAGGCTGGGAAGAGAAGGAAGCTTTTTACCTGCTCCCCCATGCTGCCTTTCATTTAGCTAGGAAGAGGAGCCTTCTCCTTCCCCTCTTCTCCCCTAAGCCAGGCAATCAAGCTACTAGATGGCCTCTTGTTACTCTCCTAGCTCCTCATAGTGGGGTAGAGGGGGCTAACTTCCATGAACCCTTTGGAGGCAGATGGTGCTGGTAACCCACCTGGACCTCCCAGGACCCCTTTGCTAGGTCACTTTGCCTACCTCCCTGCTGCTGCTAATGGCCCAGACCTGCAACTCTCTCTGAGGACTGCTCTTGAGCCACAGAGTACCTGGGAGTTACGCCCCTTCTCCAGAGGGCAGGCTGCAGACCAGTGCGTGGGTATAAAGACCACTCCCTGCCTCAAGGTGGGAAGACCCCGTGGAACAAGGAGCACTCCTGAGCTCCCTCTGGGATCAGGCTGAGTCTAGACTTCACCTGAAACCACATCCTTGTCTAACTTCTTCCCTTCATCTTGCTTGCCTCTTTTACACTTTTATAGGTTCCTCCTGAGAGCATTGCCCGAATAAATCACTGTCCAGGAATCTCTGCCTCAGTCTCTGTCTGCGTCTGTGGAACCCAACCTCTGACACCTTTCCCTGCAGAGCATCTAACATTTTCAAAGTTGGCCCCAGCAACACTATTGAGATTTGGAAATAGTTCTATCACCGGGAAAAGTCCGTCCTAGGGTTAGGATAAAAGGCACCTCTGTCCAGAGAAGGAAGAATTCTCAGGATACTCAGAGGAAAGGCTGGGGCTTTGGTAGTTCAGAATAGTCTATTGAGAGAAAAGTGTGAAGAAAAGGTCAATGTCATCTAGTCTTACTTCACAGTGTATTTTAGTACATTCCCACTCTCTGTCTTAGTCTTGTCTTTATCTCTCTCTCTTTTTTTGATCTCTTTCTCTATTTGAACCCCTAGGTGAGATCATACTCAAGAATTTTGAACCCTATTTTTATTTGATTTATAAATAAGTATTTTCAGGCCATTTTAAATCACCTTGCACACATATATTCCATCATAAGCATGAACAATACTTTCCTTAGTAATAGCTACCTTTTATTGAGGACCTCCTGTGTGCCAACGCTCTTCTAGATGTTTTACATGGATTATCTCACTCAATAAACATTGAAAGTCAATGGGGGTAGGTAATTATAATTCCCATTGTGTGTGTGTATGTATCTTTAATCCCCATTTTCATCTCTCTATCTATCTGTGTCAGATAAGATGTTCGTTGACCAGGATTACACAGCTAGTAAGTTAATAAGTAGAAGAGCAACAATTTTAACCCAAGTCTGTCTATATTATGCAGCCCATCAGTCACTTCCCTATTTGGATGGTTTCACAATTATAAACGATACTTCAATAAACATCTTTAGGCTGTAATCTTTGTCTTCATGTGTCTCCTTAGGATTCATTCCAGTGAGTAGAATTTGAGTCAAAGGGTAGGCATGTTTTTAAGGCTTTTCATCTATATTACCAAAGTGGCTCCCAAAAATTTGTTCCAATTTATATTCCTACAAGCACCTGTCTCGACAAACACCATTAGGAATTTCATTAACTAAACTCTGAGAATGGGGACCAAGATTACAGTGGCTGCAAAAGATTACAATGATTACCGTGAACGCTTTCTTTGAAATTTCATTCTATTCTCCAGATGGTGCGCTTCTATGATTTTTAAAAATCAATAATAATAAATGAGAAGCTTTTACCTTTCCCTCACCAAATTAAAGTCAAACTACTAAGCATGCGGGCCGGCCCCGTGGCTTAGCGGTTAAGTGCGTGCGCTCCGCTACTGGTGGCCCGGGTTCGGATCCCGGGCGCGCACCGACGCACCGCTTCTCCGGCCATGCTGAGGCCGCGTCTCACATACAGCAACTAGAAGGATGTGCAACTATGACATACAACCATCAGCTGGGGGGCTTTGGGGAAAAAAAGGAGGAGGATTGGCAATAGATGTTAGCTCAGAGCCAGTCTTCCTCAGCAAAAAGAGGAAGATTAGCATGGATGTTAGCTCAGGGCTGATCTTCCTCACACACACACACACAAAACTACTAAGCATGCAAAAATGTGCAGTAGTATATTCTAAGGGCAAAAGTATTCCCGTCCTTAGATGTCAAGGATTTGTTTTTATAATGAACCTATAGTGTGCAGTCTTTTTTTTAGTTACTGAATTAATACCTGAATGCATTCGTACTGTAAAATGATGTAGCAATATATAAATATACAAAGTATATGATGATCTTTTCTCTTCCTCATAACCTCTGCTTCCATTTCTCTCCCCAACAGCCATTATTACCGGCAGTTTGCTCTGCAAACTTCCAGCCCCTTCTCCCTGTAAATAAATAAATTTAAACAACATACTATGTTTCTTTTTTCTTCCCTTCCCTCCCCTTCTTCCCTTCCTCCCTCTCTCCCTCCCTCCCTGCTCCCCTCCCTTCTCCTCTCCCTCCCTCTGTGTCAGGATCTGCTTCCAATAAGACAATCTGGAAATCTTTGCATATTAATACACGTAGATCTACCACATTATTTTTTAACAGCTGCAACCCTGTTGATGAATACTTAGATTGTTTTCAATTCCTTGTTTTTGCAACCTATGCCACAAGAAACATCTTTTCCTGTATCTATTGTGTCCTACATTTGACCATCATTTATAGCAGTTTATTATGAGAACGAGCTGTTTGATCTTCATCCAAAGTATGGTGATTATTACAATCACACTGAAGAACAAAAGAATGAGCAATGAAAATAGCAATGCCAAGAAGCGGCTGATATTGGCATAAAAAAATTCCCGCTGCAACTGATTGCATTGACAGCGCTTGGCAATTAGAGATTCGCCATTTGGATCACATGCTTGGAAAGAAATGACCTGTGATCTCCATCTGGCATTTCTGCTTGGTCTTTGGGGGAAAGAGCAGTGCCAAGGACAGGTTTGTGAGCTAGCTCCTTAGACACCAATCTGAAGAACCTTCTGAGGCAGGTTTCAAGGTAGAACAGGTGGGCAGCTCCCTGGGGTATTAATCTTTAAGAGAGGCTAAAACACAGCTAGGGTGCCGGCTAAGGCAGGTCTGCATCTCAGCTGCCTAGGTAAGTGGTGTTTCTGCTGAAGTACACAGCGCCCTCTACTGGAACTAATAAATGATCTGCCCCAGTGCCAACACGTGTCTTGCATATTTTTGCGAGGCAACGTGTGCAATTAGAGGTGATTATCATTTTTTTGGTGCTTATTGGCATTTTCTAAATTTTCTAAAGCAAAAATGTATTGTTTGTAATGATAAAAATAAAGTTACACTTAACTCCCTTGCTTGAATTCAAGTTTCTTCCTTCTTGATGCTCCTCCTAGACAGAAAATGTAATTGTTTGGTATCCTAAATGTGATTCCTCTTTCCCGCCTTAATTAAAGGAACTAAAACCTG